TGTCTTTTATTTTTGCAACGTCAAGATAACGAATTAAACAAATACATAAATACTTTTCAGAAAATTAAATGAAGATGAAATGAAAGCAAACTTTTCCTTCTTGAATCTAACTTTCCTTACACTACAAAAATATATTTGCAATTGCACTCAGTTGCAGGCTCATCTTGTAATTATGTGCAACTCAAGAATCAACGTGAATTTTGTAATGTATAATTAAGTTTTTGTGTTTGTTTGCCTTATGAAGATAATAGAAATGAGAATAATGATGATGTCAGTAATGCTGATAAAAGATGTTTTATTATCACTATCATGTTTTTATCAGCAGCGGCAGCATACTAATATAAGTATATTAGCATATCCTCGCCTTTATTTTGTTTACTATTTTATATTAGCCTTTATTTTGTTTACTATCCCTAATATTGTCCTTATCAATGTCATCACTATCATAATTATTACGTCATTATCATCACTGCCATAAACACCAGCAAAATTAATATTAAAAGAATAGTATCATTATCATCACCATTATGGTTGTCTTTAATCATCACATAATTAATGTCAAAACTTGAGCTCTGATAATAAAAATGCATTTCTGAATTCTTCGTTCACATTAATATTCTTCTTCTCATTAATAATAACCGATAATCTCCCTTGATATAAAAAAGCTCCCCCTTAAAAAAATCATTATCATATGTACAAATATTATAAGAACAAAATCCAAAATAGGAGCACGTGTACCATTTTTTACCATTGCAATATCCTTTTATACATTCCAAAGAACAAACGATGAATGAAAATACTGAATGAAAAACACACGAAAGGAAAAAAAGAAAGATAAAGAAAACGTAACAAGTCGCAAACTCATACTTTAAAATGTGTAAATAAATCATCCATAAAGAAGACAAATTATTATTTTTTTATTATTACAGAAACGCAACACACACACACACACACACACACACACACACACACACACACACACACACACACACACACAACACACACACACACACACACACACAACACACACACACACAAACACACACGCACACACACAACACACACAACCCACACACATACACAACACACACAAACAAAAAACACACAAACAAACACACACACACACAAACAAACAAACACACACACACACACACACACCCACACCACATCCAAAAAAAGAAAAAAAAAAAAAAAAAAAAAAAAAAAAAAAAAAAAAAAAAGAAAAGAAAAAGAGAGAGACAGCTCATACACATAGCGGTCTCTCTGCCCCTGGGTCCTGGGGGATATATTTGTCTGATAGGTTGATGCAAGTCCTGTGTTGCTTGTGAGGTGTTTTGACAAATGATATTGCTTCAGACTTTGCAAGAGCCCGCCTGGTCAGTGTCACTTGCTGCGTCGTACGAATCCGTGGCTTCAGAGTGTGACTTTATTATCAAGACTATTATTATCATTATCATTATCATCATCATGATTATCACTATCATTTTTTTAAATCATTATCATTAGCATTATCATCATCATTATTTTCACTATCATTTTTTAAATATTTATCAATACCATTATCATCATAATCATCATTATCATGATAATCACTATCATTTTTTAAATCATCATCACTATTCTCATCATTTTCATGATCATTATCATTATCATCATTATTGCAATTATCATTAAAATTATTGTTATCATTATTATTTTCTATTGTCATTATCATTTTCATATTCTGTTATCATTATCATTATCATCATCATTAACATCATTATCGTTATTATAATCTAATACTATATTATTTTTCTTTTTTATGCATGTAGGGTGATCTGTCTCTCTAACTATATCCCAACATGCACATTACCGTATATACATAGTATTTGTACCTATATTTATCCCATTAACATTAAACTCCTGGTTGATTAATAACTTTACATCTGTCATTTACATTCATATCAACCAAATGCATACATTCTTTCCTCTAATTTCTTAAAAGGAATAACTCCAGACATACAGCTTCCAAAATAAACACAAAGCAATGCCTGTGTACAGTTGAAGTCACTGGCTTTATCTGGGGGTCAAATCTCTAGCAAGGAATGTCTGTGTTCTTGTCAGCACTGATCACTGTGTTATTGTTAACATTCTTCTTCTTCTCCTTATCATTAATATATCAACTGATAGGCCCACTTCTATATGTATATAGAGATTTATAGATAAATAAATAAATAGATAGATAAATTGGTAGATAGAGAGATAGGTGTATGGTAGTTGCATTTTTTTAGATGCATTATTTATCATTATTACGTTATTTATATATGTATTTATATTATGTAGATATTGGATATATATATATATTAAGATAAAGCTGTAATTCCTTTTTTTCTTTTACAGTTATTTTTCATCCTTTTCTCTCTCACTTTCAACAATTGGTCTTTTCGCGTTCCGTTTTCTCACTCACTATCAACTTCCCTTTCTCTCTCTTCTCTTTCCTCGTTTTCCTGCTTTTTATGTCTATCAACTTTCTCCAAGAATCCTATCAACCTATAGAGAGCGGTTAAATGTTTCGTTCATGACCACCGCTGGCACAAGGTATTAAAGCATAGTATTAACAAATAAAAATGAAAAATCCATAAAAAAAACAAAAAACATATAACATAAACAAATTCTTAAAAAATCATACGAAAGACATTACATCTACAAACCAGGAGTAAAACACCCAATTATTGTAAATTCTCCTTCTGCGACTTAGTCCTTCACGTAAGACTTTTCCAATGTATTTATCTCTTATTTATCTCACTATGAATTTCCTCTTTATTCATTGATTAAATAGCAGATGCCTGCAAGTCTTATAAAACCCAATATAATATGATATTTTATTAAATTTACAATCAATACTATATACACTGGATAAAAATAAAATTAATCATGCTTCGCTTCTTAAAGCATCAATTTTTTCTTTAATTTTCTCCGCTATATGTATGTAACTTCGAGCCTGCAAATAAATAAGATAGCATTAATGCAATATCAATAAAAGCATTAATAAAATATCAGTAAAAGAAATAATGATATTAATAGTAATAGTAGTAATAGTAACGGTAATGATAATGATGATGATGAATGAGATGATTATGATGATGATAACAATAATAATAATAATAAAATAATAATAATAATTTTAATAATAACAGCAACAACAGCAATACTAAAAAACAACAAAAACTATAATCTCCTAATTACTATCACCTCATAATGGTTTTAACATCATCTTTGTATAAAACACCTCACAATTTAAAATTAAATATATATTTTTTTTTGGTAATATGTATGAACCCTTCCTTGAACCTGAACACATCTTATAAGAAATAACAAGCCGCTCACAAACAACGACAAGGATTAACACATATCAAGATACATTATGTACTGAAATCACGTAAGCAAGAATGACTCGTCCCAAGCTTGTAATTTACCTGAGGACTCGTCGGGTGGGATAAAACGACTGGCTGGCCTTTGTCTGCCCCCAAGCGAATCTGGAGGTTCAGAGGTACGTCCCCTAAGACATCGACATCTGAAATTTTGAAATAGAAGTATTCTGCATTAGTCTTCTTATAAAAGATGTATATCTAAGTAAAGCTCAAGTTTAAGTGCTTATTACTGTTTTCTTTGTCCTTGTCTTTGAGAAATATTATAATTGGCTAGAGGAACTTCAACTTAATGAGTCTTTCACGAACTGTTCATTAGTAACAACTTTTTTTGTCTATATGAAAGAGGAAAGAGAAAAGGCTACAAATGAAAAATGAAAAAAAATGAAGCGAGAAAGTGAGAAAAAAAAAAGGATGACCAAATATGGGAAAGTAAGAACTGACCTAGTTCTTGAGCCATCTCTGCTGCTCCATCTTTCCCAAAAATGTGTTCCTCATGGCCACATTTTGGGCAGCAAAACACACTCATGTTCTGAACAAGACCAAGAACAGGAATGTCAACCTTTCTGAACATCTCAGCACCACGACGAGCATCTAGGAGAGCTATGTCTTGTGGGGTAGAGACTATCACTGCACCTGTTGATATCAAGGATTAATTAGTATTATCTGATATTACTGAAGTCTAAAGACTGTCAACAGAGCAGAAACATCAAGACTTTGAAGGAGGTCAAAACTGAGTAGTAATAAATCTGTAATGCTAGTAATAACAAAATGATATTTCGTAACTCTCATCTGCAGTATTTTCCTCCAACTTTCTTTCATCTAAACACTTTCTAATTCTACTAATGATACTTCTTTAATCCTGAAATGAAGCAGAATATTCCCAAAGTTCATTCTCACCTGTAACGCTAATCAGCTGGGAGATGGAAAGCTGTGTGTCACCCGTCCCAGGTGGCATATCCAGCACCAGGTACTTGAGCTTCCCCCAAGCAGTGCGGAGGAGCAGTCTCTGCACAGCAGACATCACCATTGGCCCTCTCCACACAACTGCCGCCTTTTCTTCTACCAGAAACCCCATGGACATACTGTTAATAAGGTCATACACATACAGGATACTGGGATAATAAGTCACAGGGGATTCGGTCTTAAAAAAGTAATATAAGTAATAGTAATAATAGTAATACTTAATCTTATCAGTTAAAAGAAATGGTACTGATATACAGCAATCAACTCTTGTAATAGAAACCCAACAAATAGGCTGGGAATAAGAAATCTTCATTCTGCTTAATATACAATAACGATATTATACTCTAAATATTTTCGATTTGTTATCCTTCATCAAATAAAATGCATCTCCACTTTAAATCAGTAAGTCTTGATAGGAAACAGAATGAAACTATCACGGACAAATATTTTACAATCAAGAGCCAATATACAATGCACAAAATAAATTTACAAACCATTTTATGCCATAATTGGAGAGTGGGATCATATTATCATCTGAAATAAACAAACAGAAAAGTAAAGAAAATGCTGATTTATAAATTCTATGTTAATATGGGACATAAAAACTACTATTCATTAATAAAACTGTATTCCTGTTCATTATTACTTACTACTACATGAAAAATAGCCATCTCGCATCATGTCAAATAATATTAACTATTGTTTCAATATCTTTTTATACTTATTAGTATCTACTAAGGTAATCTAAAAAATATTTACATGCAATTTTAAATATATTTTGAAGAAATAACTTTACTGTATATATAGAGAGAGAGTTATGAATAAATACTGTGGCTGAGTCAAACTCATCTTAATACTAAAACCAAAATGAAGAGTGTGGTTGACTTACCTTTATCTAGCTCAGGCGCACCTGTCAAATTCATCATACGAGGTATTGACGGACCAAACACATCCATGTCCAGGAGTCCAACTGCACCTGCTCTATCCACTTCAGACAGGGCCAAAGCTACATTCACTGAGGAATAGAATTAAGACCATTATGTGCATAAAATGTATATTGTATAATAAACTGATTTTGATCTGACCTACAGATATTTATAGGGTAATATATGTGTTTTTAACCCAAACATTTCCAAATTTACTGACACTTTAAAGATTATATGCATCAGTACAAGAATAAACAAAATATCTCATCTCTCTCCTCATATTCAAAATTAAATACCATCCCTAACTATACATCAATGAGTACCTGAAGTTGTTGATTTCCCAACTCCACCCTTCCCTGATGCTACTACGATAACATTTTCAACGTTCGGAATCTTTGAGCGTTTCGGAAGACTACGTGCCATCAAATTTTTCTGTCGCTCTGTTACCTGGCCTTTCTTTGCATGGATACCCTGAAAAAGAAGAAGAAAAAAACGTTTAAGAAGAACGATAAAAAATAAAATTAATCAACTAGTGAAAGTGCTGGTGTGAATAACTTTTCTGGCAATGAAAGTAGGAACCTGCAACCAAGATTAAAAATAAAAAAAAAAACAAATAATAGCAACTATTAGTTATCTGCTGTAGCTTCTACACTTTGTGCTCCAGCAATGGCCAATAAACCTCAACTTTCTAACAAGACAGAGCTCACATTTGCCTTACTTAAAAATAAGGCAATTTTTTCACATTACCTTCACATGACCGATCAAGACAATTTTGGTACTGATGGATTCCTCTCACACTCTAGTACACTCTATCATAGGAATTATGCCGTGGAACCCCCTCAAACCCCCACATTCTTGGCCCCATTCGTAAGGGAGGGCATGAAAGGTACCATGGGAATTTTAGGATAGACTAAAAAACATAATAATATAATTAATATGATACGTCACTAGTTATAACAAATATAATACCTCACTAGTTTTCACAATCAGTTAAGCGAAGGTATTCTGAAAAATTACTGAAAGTAAATTGCTAAGAAGGTCTACAAGTTCTATTTTCCCAGACCATATATAATAAAGGTTTGCTGCGCATTGGTAGAATATGAAGCATGGAGGCCACAGTATCACTTTATTTGTAAATCTGACATGTGTGTATGTTATTTCAAATTTGCACAAATTGTTTTTCATACCTAGTGAAATAAGTGTTCTTTAACGTTCTTTATTTCTATTACATTAGTTCTTTTCTATCTCTGCATAACCATATATTGATTGAGAACTACTTCTTCAATAGGAAAAACAATACATGAAATAGTACCATTAATTCTGGAACAAGAAAAAGAAAAGGAAGGAAAATAAAAGAAAGAAGAAAGGAAGACAGAAGAAAGAAAGCCGAAAGAAAAAAGAAAGAAGAGAGATAAGAGAAAACAAAAGAAGAAAGAAAGAAAGAACGAAGAAAAAAGAAAAATAAACATGTGAAAATAAAACAGAACTTACAAACGGATCTCCATGACTTGAAAAATACCGGAAATTTAAGAATAAGTCTCTGCTTTTGCCATTAACACGAGAAAGGGCTCTGTGAGTGATGTTTGATATCATTTTGCCGATATCTCAATTCTATTTGTAACGTAGAGAGTATAACTTGCATGAACTCCCAGCATAGAGAAACTGCAACTTCCAAATCCCTTTTGTTTACATTGCAGTGTGAAAGGAGAGTGTATGTAAAAAAAACAATCCAAATCTTACTCTGATTTGTTTCATGTCATTATAAACTTACATATTAAACAATTATTTAATTGGTCAAATTCTTTTGTTCTTTTTAATCTTACAGAAAGTAAATATCTATATATCCTATCCCTTGTGTAGTTACTTTGATGCTACTTTTAAAGACTTCATAAAGGCTAAAAAACATAACTCACACATTAGCGAACCTACATAAAAATGGATAAACTAACATTATATATGAAATATAGCATCATTCATATCAATTGATGTAAAGTAATGATAGCGGTAATATCTAAACATCTGACATAATTCTTACTAAACTGTACCGGATGGGATTTCATGACCGGCTGTAATGAAAACAACAGAAAAGGTTATCAACGTAAGTTTCTTTTATTTTATCAGAGTATTTTGTGTTATTATACCTTTATGGGTCATCTACATACATAATGCCATAGAAGAACTCTGTCCTGGTTTATATAATTCTAAATAAACTCCGCCAATACCTCGAACTGCATATTGTCCCGTTAATTTGGATTATTGAGAAAAAATTGCATGTCTAAAGAATTACCCATTATTTTTATGGCCTTTGCCAAAGCATGAAGTTAATATTACAGTATAGTTCCGGCAAACTGTTTGCAATGATTTTGGTATCAACGGGTTTCTCTCACTCTCTATTATCTAACTATAGAAATAATGGACAATATGCAGAGCGAGATAGTGCCTGAGTTGGAAGGTCAAATTTGGGGGTAAATTTGAGAAATACCAGAAGAACACTAGTAGGCATAATATATTGACATAATTCAGGGTTATGCAGGGGGCTTTACCCCCTTCAAACCTCTTTTAGGGGGCTGCCACCTCCACCACCCTCCGCCTAGTCTACAATATCTTCACTACGTATCTTCCGGCAGGGTAGAGCCTAGGCAAACCAGGTATACCAATGTTTTCAGTAGATTTAAGGGGCTTCTCCCCTTCAGACATCCTTTCAGTGTGAAGTTCAAGACAATGTTTCCCAGGGGGTGTTGGGGGGAAGAGCCCCATCAAACCTCCCAAGTCACAACGTAGATTGTTTAATTTTTTTTTTGATGTGGAGTTGGGGATTTAATCTTTGGTGAGTACCTATGTATATATCTATATCTATCTATATATACATATATGTTTATATACATATACATAAACATATGCACACACACGCACACACACACACACACACACACACACACACACACACACACACACACACAACACAACACACACACACACACACACACACACACACATATATATATATATATATATTATATATATATATATATATATATGCATATATGCTGGGTTTTCTTTTAGCAGAATGTCATCAAATGTGAAACATCTGCTTCTGCCTCTCGCCCGTTCCTTTGGCACATCTGCGAGAAGTGACATAAACTGCCATCGAGCAAGCATAGCCCGCATTGGTCGCCTCACTTACACTCGCATGTATCCAGTCTCCATAGTGCAAACGGATGGTTCCACTATTAATGTCAGATACCATGAACCACGCAAGATTATTAAGGTAAGAGAAAGAGAGTTTGTGAGTTATTGAGTGAGCAAGTGAGAGAGAGCCTGTGAGTTTGTTGCTTCTATATGATTAACACTAATGGAATATCTTCGGTTATGGTGTGGTGTTTGAAATCTCGTATTACAAGGTCAGAGTTGTTAAGAAAAAAAAAAAAAATAATAATAAAAAATAAAAAATAAAATAAATAAATAAATAGATAAATAAATAAATAAATAAAATAAAAAAGGATAAATACTGAATAAGGAGATACAAGAATGGAAAATTTTCATTGTTTAGATTTAGACACAAGGCAATCAGCTGCCACTGACATCATGGATACTATACTTCACCGGCATGTTCTTTGTCATTTTTCGTATTACTTGATATGATTGTTTTATGAAAATTGTGACTTTTGTTCTCCATGCCACCAAGATCCTTATTCCCTGCTTCTTCCCCCCAGTTGCCTCTTGATCTGTCGACTCTGAGTGAGGCCGAGAGAAGAAAACGTCTGGAAGCTCGCAAACCGAAAGCAAAGGTAGGAAGAGGTTCATTTTAGGACCCATCTTACTATTTTTTCACCCTTTCTGTTCAGTTTTCCTTCCTTTTTTTGTATTTTCTTTTTCTTTATTTCTTTATTGTTCCCAGCATTCTAGTTTTTTTTTTTTTTTTTTGTGGCTGTAACATTTTATTTATTTATTTTTTATCCTCTTTCATTTTCCACTTTTTTTTTTTAGTTTCTATCTCTCTCTCAGTTTTGGGTTATTGCATATGTAAAAAAAATATTCTTTTATCTTCCAAGTTTTAGCAAATAAGAAAATTCCTCTCTCCTGAAAAAATAACGTCTTGGAAGAACATATATAGCAAGGATAGAATGATGAAAAGATAAGTGGATAATCTCTCTTTCCCTATTCTCTTGCCCACAGGTGGTGATAGAGGACGACATTGAGGACGACTTTGACCTGAGTAGTTATCAGCACCTCTGGAAGAAATAGGAAAGAGTAGCGTTTTTTTTTATTTATTCATTCTCTCTCTCTCTCTCTCTTCTCTCTCTCTCTCTCTCTCTCTCTCTCTCTCTCTCTCTCTCTCTCTCTCTCTCTCTCTCTCTCTCTCTCTCTCTCTCTCTCTCTCTTTCTTTTCTTTTTCTTCTTTTTGTTTCTTGCATTTTTTTTTGTCAACTTTATTATGGTTGATACTTATTTTTGGTCTGTAAATGTAATTCATTATCGTTATTGTTCATTATGATTATTTTTCATTATTTTTATTATTACTATTAATATTACTGTTGTAATATAAACAATAATTGTAGTTTATTATAAATATTGACATTTGTACATATTTTTTTAAAAGATTCAAAGCCTAAGCCTTCGTGCTAATGTAATTTTTCTCCCCTCACTCTAACTTTCTTTTCAATGTCTGTTTTTCTCTGTAAATAAATGACAATACAAAAA